TGAAAAGCCTCCTTTTGCGCTGCACTTGAAATGTACAGTTCCTATTCAATGGTACTTACTACCGATAAAAGGACGGTGTAGTTATGGAATCGCCATTAGGTCCGTTGTTGGCTGATGTCTTTATGGCGAAATTAGAGGATATCAAGCTAGATGGATGGCATATTTGTCGTGGCCGACCAGTCTATTGACCTTGAGGCTATTATTGGCCGTTTTAACCGGGCCCACGCAGCATTGCAGTTTATCTGTAAGAAAAAAAGTGAACAAGCAGTTGCCCTTTCTTGATGTCCTGTTAATTAGAAGATCAGGTGGCTCGATCCAACGGCAGATCTACAGGAAGAGAACATGGAGCCGCCAGTATACGAACTTCCACAGTTTCGTCCCGTTAAGCTATAAACGTAACTTAATTCGCTGTCTAACCACAAGGGTCCGCAGGATCTGCTCTGAAGACATGTTGGATAATGAGTTGGGGTACATTCAAATTTTGCTGCTCGAGAACGGATATCCTGACTGTTCCATTCTTAAGAACTTTCAAGACAAACCCGACCTACAGCAAGTTCAAACAGCAAAAAAGCTGATGGCACATAAGTCGATGGTGTTGTCCGTCTATACGACAGTGAAACTTCGACGAGGTACCGGAAGGACGCTAGATATCTGGAACGGTTTCACCAACAGTTTATGCGACAGATTCTGCGCGTCGGTTGGTGCGACAGAGTTGCAGACACGGAAGTGCTACGCCGCAGTAGCATGTATGTATTGGACTGCGTATTTCTGCTGCGGCACCTGAGGTGGCTGGGCATATCAGCCACATGGGTTCGATGCGGATACCCGAGCTGCTGCTATATGGATAACTTTGTCTCATAATAATCAACAGCAGTAAATCAGTCATCTGAACTGACGTTACGCTGCCATACAACCATAACAAGATACGGGACGATGAGTAATAAAAGAGTAGCACTTTCTGGAAAATGTTAATACCCTAAGGAAATATTCAGGGTCAAGAGGATCACATCTTGTCAACAACATACCTTCGCAAACAACTAGCTAACGTGCAAAGATAAGGCGGTATCAACGAGACAGCTTCCTATGGGCTTTCACTACTTCATTACGCAACAGAGAACAACACCAAACACAGTTTAAACAGGCAGTACGACTGGAAGACGGCGGCACACGCGCCATCGGTATCGGCTGCGGGTCGTACTGTAAAGTCAAGTACAATGCGGGTCACGTGGACTCAAGCCTTGAAGGCGAGACGCACAGACGGCACTAAATTGGGTCGTCAGTGACTTCGGTTCCCGGTGCCAGGTCAACTTTTGCTCACGTCGAGTCTTGCGACCCCCTACATCCAAAACAAGATCCTCCTCGGTAAGCAGTAACCAGACATACGTATTACGTAATCAAACACTGAAAAATCGGTGCTATCTGTTGTTATAGGAAACTAACTTGGGTTTTACTGCCCAGCACGCGCCCACGCACATCATGGTTGCGGACACACTGGTGCCACGCGACACCAGAAAGGCTCCGCAGGTAGCAAGGATCAATGACTTGAACGCGCCTCAGATTGAGGGGGCCACGTCCCACTCTCATAGAGTAGAACGGCTCTCACTGTAGTCATGTAAACGCGGCCTTTTAGACGGAGAAAAACTTTTCTGTCGCAGATTCAAGAAGACAGTTTTGGCTTTTGTAATACTTAAACTGACTATAGTTGATAAGTGCCCGTCGTTGTTGGACAACCCTGAAGAATGCCACTCGTTGTTGAAAAATAGAGATGGCAAACGTGGAACCATGGACTTTTAGGATGTTAGCTGAGACCGCTACTCCAAAGCCACCGTCACATAAAAGGCAACAGCGTACCAGGGCATGATCAGAGTGGACGCAAGTACTCTAGAATCAGAAACAATTCAGGATGGAACCACGCCATCTGTATCCTAAGGCAATGTGACCAACCTGTTGGCCCGTAGCCTAGAGGTAACGAGCCTGTCTCATGACCTTGGGGCGCGGGTTCGAATCCGCGTAGGGGTGGGAGTCATCGCGGTATACTCAGACGCGTGCGACTGGTTTTGGTCGCACGGCAGCGAGGGACCGTTATGAAGTAAAGCTGACACATTATTATGATTCATTGCTAGCCAGCTACAGGACGCCAAGTAGCACTTCGGCACCCACTGTGTCTAAAAGCGGCACTGCTAAGAGACAGCTGGTGCTCTGCACCCAGTTGCGACAGAGGCTCACTGTTGTCGTCAGTTCGGAGTTAAGCCCATACTTACTAGAGTTTTCGAAGAGATCAGACGACCTTCGCATTCATATCTCCTACACAAACTATGAGCATGTTCAGTTCCTGATAAAAGGTAGCCTTCGCAGCATCAGAGCTGCAATCGGTGGGCGCACAAGCGGAAACCACAAACAATGTCTAGCGCTACTTCGTGGATTAACCTTATTTGATGTCTTCAAACGGGCTGTACACAGACGGCTACTCATGGGAATCCAATCAATCAACGATGATTCAGCCTTGGAGGTGAGAACGATGCCTACCCCACTTTGACCAGTGAGTGCCGCATCAGCATGTCCGGATACGTGCAACCACTAGCGACAGGAAAAGCCGGGCGCCGTTACTTCAATAACCCAATTAGGGTCATTGATCCTAGTTTCGAACACAGTACACACGTCAATACGTGCGCGTGCGAGTGTAGCCTGTTGTCTCTGAGTACGAATGTTGAACGCCGCCAGGGAAACGGAACAGCCTGACCTTATAAGGGACTGTGACCGGTAGGTGTCCAGCGGGTGGTATGGGAAGGTAGCCGGATGTTTCGACTCCAATGGCATCATGACTGCTGTAAATTAAGCTGAGAAGTATAGAATTAACGTTAGCAATGGGGGTTGGGAGGGGTGTAAAAGAAACAGATAAAAAAGAGAAAGAGGCACCAGCAGTAGCGTGTTTTCGCTTATCCGCCGTTGTAGCAGCACATTAGGCAACACTTGATAATCTGCGCGAGGGCCGATGCAGGATATGGTGGTTTGAAGCAGTCATGATCGTACGCGGGCTGGGATACTGCCAGAACGTCTAGGCCTAAACAGGAGGACAATTGGGGTCCTCAATCAAAGCCTTTTGCTCAAAAGGCTGTCCGAAAAGCAGCGGGGAGGTGGCGGTGTTTTGGTTTCTACAGAAATGGACTCCATGGCATTTCGAATGCCCGATCTGGAGGACCAGGAGAGTGAGTTCGTCTGACCTCCAATTATTGACCAACCCGGTAGTAGCTCCTAAGGGGCCCGGGGTACCACCTAGTATAACTCAATGGGTCAGAGGTACGTAGTCGCACCACGTTAAGGTTATCTTATTGCGACGGAAACGCGCCGAACCCTGGAGAAGGGAATCAGTATGTTGGAAAACCGAAGTTACGTTACCATATTATGAGCAAGGTGAGTTTCCAAATGTTGTGAAGCAACGGTAGTGGGTCGTCGTCAATGGCAAGAGCACATCAAGAAGTCGGTTGCACAGGTGCAAGAGAAGGCACTATTGCATGCGGAGAAACGCTGTGTACGGGAGCGGCAGGTGCGATGGATGACAGCCCATCGACGCTGTGGCGCATGCAGTCGCGAGTGCCTGATCCAAACGAGCCTGGTAAGCCAACAGCGTGGCCACGCGGGGTCAAGAACCCAAATGCGTCGAGCTAGCAGATTACATAAACAGTATCAGCGCAACGTTCTTAAGTGTGCTGCGCCTGTCTTCACTCTACTTAAAAACCCAGACCAAAAAGGTGGTTGGTGTGATACGTATGCTGTCATCGTTGTCGTTGGTCTGTACGTGTGCCTGCATGTTGAGTTTCTTGCACTGCAGGCGTTGGTTGCTTCTTAAAATCTGTTGTGTGGCTGCGCCTGATGTGAATGTTGACAAGACGCTTACCTGTCTATTACTCTCCACCCCGTCTATACTACCTCCAGGAGACACTTGTTCGTTGCTCAGTGTACGGGGTTGCAGGGTCCTCGTGGCGGTGCTAGACTCAAGGAGGGGTCGCAAGCACCCAAGGTGGAACGGACTAGACCCACCTACTGCTGACTTGTGTACGTTTGATACACGTGGTTCATCAAATAGACAGGAGTGTTTCTGCTGTGATTGGGGAAGGAGTGTGGGTCGGCTCCGTTGATGGAACACGCCTCCCGGTCTTAGTCCTTCGGATTTACACTGGATTTGGGGTTTGTGGATGTGGTTGGTGCAGCGAAAGCCACCCAATGGTCCCTCTGTAGGCAAAGGCGTCCTGTAGCTGGCCACAGTGACAGGCAAATCTGATACCGTATGCCGCCAACCACGTATATGTATACTGACGCCGGAAAGTAAAATCCATTTAACCGCTCCACACTGGATGGAAGCGCTAAGCTTAACAGGGTCACTCAAACCGTGTACCAGCACCCTGCAGCAACGAGTAGTATTCTCCTGAAGACAGTAATCGAGGCGGATGGTATTAGACACTCAGGCGCCTTTCCAACATTTATATCAGACGCAGCCGCATCGCGATATCAATCAACAGACAGCAGTTTAAATGCACGAAACCGACACGTAGGCACACGTACAGACTAAATCTTGTGATGTAGCGCAAGCGCGGTATTATTGTTCTGGGTTATTAAGTGCAATGAAATCGGAAGCAGCGTAGTTATCAAGCACTGGGTTGATGATGATTAGTAAGTTGGCTAACTTAGATGTTAGCCCTACGTGGTTACGTTAGTGGATTGCGAAGCCGGCTTGGCTGAGCCACTCAAGACTGCATGTGCTACAGCACCATGCGCTTAACGTCGATGGGTTAGACTTCATCGGCGCCTATCACTTCTCAACGGACGTTTCTTTCCAAATATCTTGCCAGTTAATGGACCTCAAACGGGATACGAATGCGGCAAACTGCGATTCAGAGCTACAGCCAGATTTCTAACCAAAGCGATCGCATGACATGAATACCGCAAATTAGGGTAACTAGTAATCGTACTTCTGGTAATGTTCGGTTAACTAACAAACGCACCTGAAAAACAACACTGCTATTAAAAGTGACCTCTTTGACCTCCTCTGCGCCCAGCTCTATACCAAGGTTGGTAGCTGAATCAAGATCGGGAAGATTATCGTTATTCTTAGCTGGCACATTTACGAGGCCAACATGGTTGAAGAATTCATTGGTTATCCTTCCAGGTGATGGAGAAACGGTACACCTAATTGACAGTCACGTTAATAAAAGAGGTTACCCAAAGCGTTTGACAATCGCAGTCAACTTATGTCGTTCGGAAGGAACGGATTTTGTAAGGCCTTTAACAAGGACAAAGAGTCCACCTGGCGCGATAATTTCTAGCAGGTAAGGGATACCAGCTGGCTCAGCTTTCAGTGCGCGTTCCAATGTAGAGGAAGGGACGGAGTTAGCCTTTGCTTCAGCTAGTACAGAAGCCAGCTGGGAGTTCAACCTAGGGTCCCGAATACCGCCTCCATCTGTGGATGTTATGAGAAGAGCACTCGACGTACTTTTTATGGCAACTGATATAGCTTTAACATAGTGTTGAGCGGTCCGGCTCTTAAGCTTATCCCCTGCTTCTTTCGTTTTTTTAACGTTTTGCCAGTGAGCATGCCCAGCAGACCTTCCTTGGTTGTAAATTATGAACTTGAGCGCATTCCAGCTGCAGAGCTTTATTCTACTTTCAATCAGGCTGCTGAAGAGAAGAGGGCAATGCGGCATGCGGACAAAAGCGAACAAGCGCTACACTACCCAGAATTCGCCAAATGTGCAGGCAGCCAGTTCACGGATCGGGATTCTAACCAATCTCTTATGGGCATAATATGGTGTGGGTTGTGTGGTACGCTACGCCGAAAGTTGGTTAGGTTTACAGTGAAGGTAAAAACGTTTAAAAAGGAGATGCACATGGCAACAACGTCTAGGTGATGCTATAAATGGATGGCGAACATAACTACCCTGTTTTTGTTCAAGTGGATGACAAGTGGCAATGAATCGCTGTGGCGCCACGTTAGAAACGGTAAACATGGCGGACGATATGGCTAGGTTTTACGTTTCTTGCGCTCCTTTTCCCTTTAATTTGCTGACATGGAGAAGCCTGTGAAGAAATTGTAACCAGCAGCTGCGACATAATCCTACAAGCAGCAAATGGTGACTATTTTTGCCCTCTATATTGGCCTACAGGTCTTTTCCTTACGAGCAGGGTGAAAATTTAACGCGGCTGCATCAGTTTTAGGATCGCCGTCATCATGACGAGCGCTTTTTTGACCTACCATCAAAAGCTTCTATTTTCCCGTCGCTGAGCCATGTGGAAAATGCATCGTTAGAAGCTTGTGTTTGGTGTTTTTTAATCCGGCAACCAACGGATGGCATTAAACGAGGCCTGAGAGAAGTGTGGTTGGCCATGTTCTCCTTTTACTTGTGCATACTCAGCTAGCCATTTATATTTGTGTCCACCGACGTCACACAGACTGAAGTGTATTGATCGGGCTAAGCACTAATGTGATGTGTTCGCCATCGCAATGGAGCTGGACCTTACCGTAGTGCTTTGGTTTGCATGCTTCAGAGATCTATTGAGCTATGCTGCGTGGTGCTTTTGCACCTTCACAGCCACGCATCCCAGAATGGTCAATGGTTAGGCGCCAGGCAAACTCAGCCTCCGGGTTGGGGGTTGGAATGAGGCGGCTCCATATTCCTTAAAACGAACTCCTTGTGGCCCAACTCCGGCCCCAAAGCTTTGCGCTCAGGTTTTTGAAACAAAGGCTGTTGTTGAGAACCCTACTCGTTCTCTTGTCGAGCCTTGGGCAACCTGACAGTACACAACCCACGCAATATAATGAATAACCCTTCAAACAGTTGCCTGAAGCTCTGGCCACTGCAGAGGATAATCAACGGTGCCCTATCTGCTTCATTGAGCAGGGTGTCTAGGGATTAGGATGCTACTGCTCAAATCTACCCATCATCTTATTCCCCCTATAACTCTTCACTCATACCGTCTCGTTCCAGCCTCACTTTTATCCCCCAGTTTTCAGCCTCCAATTTTTGGCCCTTCCCCATCTTCTTTTGACAGGCTTTTACGTTTCAGTTTCAACTCACCTGTGAATGTACAGCATCATTCCTGCTCTGTTGACAACCTCATGTGCAAGCAAGCGGCTAAGCCAAATTGATTGGCTTCCATTTGTAGCCCTCGATCACCGCTTAGATTGACATACCTCAATGTGCGCACATTGCTACAGATCGGTTCACAGGCAGCACTTGCTCGAACTTTAAAGACTCTGAATGTGTGGTAGGTGCCCAGACGGAGGGTTTTAAAGAACGATTGGACAAGTACATGCTGAGCTTGCCTGGATTCCTCTGTTTTTGCTGCAGTTGCAACCATCCCACGGCGAGCAAACTTAAGCAAGTGGTGTCATCCAGCCAATGCACGGGAGGAGACGGAGCGAGCACAAGTTTTCTCTTCCGTTCTCTGCAGCTTTAAAACGCCATCGATAGCTACTGCTTATCGGGGACCCGCCTGCAAGGCTCGAGCTTTGTGCTGATTTTGCGGTCTCCTTCGGGTGACACCGGCAGTACTTTCTACTTGATCCTGTCCGGTGGCGATACAGCTTCGAGCAGCGGTCAAGCCGGTGTTGGTATTGCCCAGAGTCCCCTGAGCCCATCCGTTACCGGTAGCTCAACTGGCATGCACCCGTTGCGTTTTGTTCCCTTTTTCTGTCAGGTACCAAGTCACAATAGCTGAGGTGTTTCACACCTCTAGCTAACATAGGTAATGAGGATAATGATGGTGTGACTGCACCTTCGATCGTCTCGCAGGTGTCGTTGTCTTGTAAGTCTACTCAGCCCTTACAGCCTTTACGACGTATCCTATGCTCACCCGCGGATTCTTTTTATATTACACCCGTGCAACTGCACTCTGTGTTTGTCGATAGATGCCCAGTAGGTTTGATGGCGGTCTACTTAATGTTATTCGTAAACATTCGTGTTTAGTGATGAAGTTTATTCGCCTCCACCTGGACTGCCAGAATTTCTCCTGCGATGCTGCTTCAATTTGTTTTGCTACTGAATTCTCTCTCTACCCTTGCATGCTCCACTGCATCAGTTCGTTAAGTTGCCCACTAGATTTATGATGGGACAAAACCTGTCCCTTTGGGACCTTTGCTAATAAGTTCCCTGGCTTCGTCATGAATTTGGTATACAAAATAGAGGTCGAAGTACCGAGGTTCTTTTTCGCTTACGTGTGTAAGAAACAGGACGCGGGTTAGGCGGAGGTCTTATCGTCCTTGGAACCTGACCAAACCTCTCCGTGCTAGCGACTACGCGCGTCAGTAGCTTAAGTGCGCTGTTAGTCGTATGACGATTAATCGGCCCTATGGGGTCCATATATTTGGCTCCCCAAGCAGGGTGCTGAGTATCAACCCTAGGCCAAATTAGAAGTAACGGCATTCATGCTTACAGTGTTTAGGGTGTAAGCAGTGATGACAAGCTGACACATAATAGCCACGCGCGACGTCAAAGCTTTGAATGAGTCTGCCAGTCGGACAGCACACATCCGTCTACTGAAAGGCATGCAAATCGGCATGCAAAATGGTATCCACATACAATGATCCATTGCGCATGTCGTCCGTAGCACTGCAGGTAATTACACCGCATATATATACACCTGGTTTTTAGACCAGCATTAGGCATGCGCCGCCCGGATTCCTTGTTTGGTGGTGCAATCCTGTCTCGGAGTGTGTGATGCCCTTCTTTACACGGGATACAAACAATTTCTCTGTGTTCATGATTTGTGGGATTCGAGCGGTTTACACGCCCACCCGCAGGGACTGGAATATTTGTGAATGGTTTGAACGTCATAAAACCTTACTGCACCGTGCTCCTGTACTTCGATTATCCAATTCTGTCAAACGTTGGTTATCATGTGACACTTATCTACGTCTTTCTGATACCCCTGTACTTGACTCACATTGGTGACCACCATCATCTTGCATACACCACTGCAGTATTGCTGCCTCACCTTTATGCAGTCTACGTCTATTGATGCGAAGTACATCTTCCATTTATCCGTCACCTAGCGGATAGCAGCAGTGGTGTGTGGCAGAACTGGACGCCACCTCATTTCGGATAGCGGCTTCACGCGTGGTTGTCTGCCCACAATGACCGCACTTGCGGTCTCTTTTTTCTATGTTGCTCATGTCCATATGCACCATAGTCCCAGACTGCGAGGTGGCACGGTCATGCTAGGTGCTCAAGTGTTTCTCACCGAATCCAACGGCTTTTTTATTATTAGATAATCATCTCCTGGACATATATATTGTGAAAGAGCCACGCTGACTGCCTGATATGCACAACCTAGGTTTCCTTGAATCTGTAAGTCAACCTTGCGTTACATCTATGCCTATTGTGTTCCTGTGTGTTTGTGGCACAATTTGCAATGCACCGTTCCTCGGTGCTTGCGCGCTGTGGGTCAAGAGCGCAGAAAATGCTCCTCTTGATGACGTGAATATTTGGATTCGGTACAAACGTCCGCCTTGAAGTTCATGGCATGTTTCCCTTTCATTACAATGTTGCAGTGATTATGAATCGAAAGGGATGTCAAACACTTGCTTTCCATGACCACGGAAAATGCAATTACGTGTGATCCGCGTAAACCTTGTACTAATGACATTGATGATACCCATTCCATGCAAGATTCCTGAAACACCACTTTAGCCCAGGTCAGTGGATTCGCTAGTAACGATAATGTCGTCCGCTATGGGATGTATATGAACCTACTCAATACTCCGGTGGAGGCGCACCATGTCTATAGCGCATATTCTGCCAGTGTCCATTTTTAGCCCACTGGTTTAGGACCTATATAGGTCCGTCAGGAGGGAAGGTGAAGCCACCAGCTGCTACTTCCATAATAGCGATGTTGATGCAGCTGCCAAAAACTTATATTGACACGTGAACAAAGTTCGTGCAGGCGTGTGATGTTCGAAGTATGTGTTATTAGCGGCGGTACTGATGACACCGCTGTGCCGCCAACCTGGACTCAATAAACCCCGATCACGGACGCCTGCGCAGCCAACAATATCCCCTACCCGAGTCACCATGATGAAACAGATACCATGGGAGAAATATAGTATAACTACGAATACGTCTTGAAGGCATGTGGAGCCAATATTTGTAGTTCACCTATGGGTAATATGGATGTCAATGACTTGGGACGTATATGGACTAATTAATCACCGTTAATGGGAGCCCACAGAGCTACCGGCAATATTGCGGTACCTCTGTTGGACATACATATGCTTACGCTAGTGAAGCAAACGTGGGTAACGGTTAATTTGCGAGCATGCCGCCCTTGTAATGGGACATATAAAACTGCTCACTGCCCCAGTCATGCGGGCTACTCAACCAACGGAGTCTCCTTGCGTGCCGACAGTAATGCCACCTCCGTGGCAGTTGTATAGGCTTACTTAGCACCCATTACGTTGGCATGAATATCCAACTATATAGCACCATGTCTCCCGCTACTTACAATATGTCGTGTCGTTGTACTTTATTCATGCATACTCCAGTAAGTGACCACATGGGAAATGTAAGTGTGCAGGGACCTGATTCACGGTTATTTCAAAGTACCTTTTCCACCGTGCCTCTTGCCCACCTTCTGGCTTGCATGATACACGCTATTATTTGTCTACTGTACCGCAATGCCACCATGTTTACAGGTGAGTAATGCTGCTCCAATCAATTACTTTTCAGATTAACGAGGCTTGCCCATGCTTCTTTACTTTCCAGCCCACTCCGCATATAGCATAACCGGTACTCGGTATCACAACTGCTAGCCACGACGTTCGCATGCCCAAGGTTAGTCCGCACTGTTAACTGCCTCCGCTTT